GCCTATTTTCAATTAGATGATGATTTTCATTAGCCCAGTAAACATGATTGTGTCTGTTAATTATTTCATTTTTGCTTTGTGCTTTGTGTGATAATATAGTTCTTGTTTACATAGCCTACTACAATTTTTTTTATCTTCTTTTGAAGTTTTACGGCTACAAAAGGAGAAACACATACAAACAGTTATATCGTTAAATTCAGAAAAAAAATAATGATTTTAAAAGGCCCACAGCCAACTATGATTGCCATTTAAAAAAACCATAAGTTTATTTTTTATCTCGTAAATCAAGTTGGCTATGACAACGAGTGCTAGTTTATTGAATTCAACGCAAAAAGTTCTACCAAAGACAATTTTAACTTTTTTTCTAATGTAAGCAGTTTACGAATTATATGATAATTAAAAAGTGTTGATTTCTTGTCTTTTCAGGATATTTCAGGAACCAAGTCGACTACCTCAATTTTTCAAACGGTAAAGAATAGGTGATCGAATTCTGCCCAATTTTCCTCATTTAACGGATGGTCTATCTTTAAAAATGTTGAAGTTACCCATATAAAGATTCAGAAAATGGCCACCCTGCATATGTTATATTTTATTCGCCCGTTCTCAAATCATATCAACTTTCTAATATTTACATTTCTTTAATTTAATTAGCATCGTCATGATTAAGAAATAATTGAAAACCGGCGCCGTTGTAGTTTTCTTCTTATCAAGGTGCACTTTGGTTCATAATGAACTGGCTTGGATAAGAGAGAAGATAAGAATTTGGTGAAATTATTGTAACTAAAGAATAATTGAACAATATAAACAAATTATATTAAAAAATAAGTTATTATTTTCGATATAAACATTTTACTTAAAAAAACATTTTTGCAATTTTTTTGATTGGCTTTATAAGTAAAGTGAGATAAATGATCATTTTGATCACTCATTTACTGGCGCAATCTCCCTTCTCAAACTTAAAGGGTTCTTGGCCTTATGTAGCAACCTTGATAAACGGAAAACTACAATGACGCCGGCTCCTGATTGTTTCTTGATCTTGACCGTCGATGTCTTAATATAGTCAACAATTATTTTAATTTTCGAGAGCATGGCTTGAAAAGGAGAAAACAAGAAATAATAGCGCCCAAAGTCCAAAGAAAAAAGTTCCCAATATGTTATTCCTATTGTTGAAAATTTGAGGCTTGCTCGATTTTTTATTTCATGAGTTATGTGGCCAGTTCCCATGGATTCCGCTGTATCAGCAGCTAAGGAATACCGCCAATCATCATTTTATAAAGAAGCCTCATGTTTTGCGTATACCATTGAATGAATGTAAAAGTTATTCAGAGTACAACCACGCTTAAGTAAACTTGTAACAATTTTAGTCATAAAAGTAGTTTTTAAAAACGGTTTGTCATTCTTCAAACAGATAACTGGCGCAGTCAGTAGTATCGATAGTATTGATAACGTTGCTGATTGATTGCATCGTGCTATCAATTTCGGGTGCCGATTGAACTACCGATCGAACAAATTGACTTTGCGGAAATCGTGTCGTCTCGTGCAGAGTGGCTCAACAATCAGAAAACCCATTCCATCGAGGAACTGCCAGAAACCAACATCCACAAAGAAAATTGGAAAAAGAATCAAATCGTCTTTTTCGCCAGAAGATCTATTTGTTTTCAGACTCAACACCGCTGAATTTCAAAGTCTTCTGATAGGCAACGACAGAATGACCAAAGCCGTCCTCCTAGTTATGTAAATGCAATTTAAAATAATAGATTTATGTCTGTTGAAAATCTATTAGCTCAACTGAATAATTTGAGTATAAACCCTTCAGTTGACTCTGACTCTACTTCTTTACCCAATCAGAAATTATCAACGAGAAAAAGTAATAATAATAATATTAATAAAATAAGTAATTTCAATAAATCTTTGAAAATGTTGCTCAAACCAGAATGCTTAAATTGCGTACCGACATTTGATGGTAACCCTACAGAACTAAACAGATACTTGGCTTTTTGGGAGTCAATTATTTCTAACTTTTATGACGCTACCAATCCAAATAATTTTCAAAATGTTTATTTACTGAATTCACTAATTGGCAAATTAACTGGTAAYGCAAGMTTGGTTATTAATATTYAAGSTGTTTCAACTTGGGCTGAAGTAAAAGAATYAYTAAATAGRAATTTTGCAGACAAACGAGACGAAAGTTGTTTAAACAGAGACTTGGTCATGCTTAAACAACTTCCACACGAAACAGCTCAGAAATTTTACGATAAATGTTTAGAATTATTAAATTTGTTGTGTAGTCATGTTGATGCTCATGAAACGGCAGCCGCTGCAGCTGTAAAGCGTGACCTCTTTCAAAAAGTTACACTTAAGACATTTTTATCCGGGCTCAGAGAACCTTTGGGCACAGTAATTAGGTGTATGAGACCAAACTCTCTGACCGTTGCCATTCAATTGGTTATACAAGAAGAAAACGTTAAATATCTTCAATACAATAATGCGAAACCTCCCGAACTTAAGTCAAATATTAATAATCATCAATTTAACAAAAATAATCAATTCCAACCAAATATGCCTTTTCAAAGAC